TTGGCTTTATACAGATAAAGAAGCAGAGGCCAAGTGGATTGAAGAGCTTTCCCCAAGGTCTCCCAGATGGTCAGATATAGAACTGGGAATGAGACCTAGGGTTTCTGACTGCTGAGCCAGAGGTCTTTGCACATCAGCAGCATTCTCTCCCAGTGGAGGGTCCTTCCTATTCTGCCCTGTAAAGACAGCATGTTCTTCCCAATGGACACTAAAGAGATTAGAAAAGTAATAAATAAAAACATTTATTTTCTCACGTATTGTTGAAAACAACTCACAGTATCTGATCCCTCATAGTCCTTAATCACTGGTCCTGAAACATGTTTCAAAAATTCAGTTATTCCAGGGTATTGTTTACTTTTTGTGAAATAATTTTGTGCACAAAAGACATTTTAAAAGCCTTGTAGACCACATGTTGTCTTTGAATGAACAGCCAAGGACATCTGTCATAAGGAAAATTCTCATTTCAGCCGGAATGCTGACTTCCAATAAATCTATTCAAAGGAATAAAGTGGCTGTTCTGCCTTTTGGTAAAACACTCACAGCTCACGAAGTACTTTGTTGATAGAAATGTTAGCAAGCAGTGCCAAACAGCCAGGAAGCCCGAAGCCAGTGAAATGTAGCATGAGACCCACCAGTCACTAAGAATTTCAAACACTGCTTAGGTGGGCACTAGTAAGGCTACCATGGTCTTCACAACACCTCAGTAGAGACAGTACTGGTGCAGGGGAAAGAACAAGGACCGAGAAAGTGGAAAGATCTGTTTAAGTCCAGCTCTGCCATGTATTAACTCTGGCCTCCAGCAAGAGGTTTAATCCTCTTAGTCCCATCCATTCAAGACATATTTAATGAGTATCTATTTGGTGCAAGCTCTTTTCTAGACACTGGGTGGACGGTAGTTAAAAAAGAGAGAGAACTATTCTCATCAAGCTTACATATTTATAAAGGGAGATGTTTGGGAAAAACAACATACACACAAATAGAAAATGCATGTTATTCAGTGACTAGTATTATGGAGAGAAATACAGTTGGGGAAGAAAGAGTGCTGAGAAAAAAAAAATGTATTTTATTTATTTATTTTGAGATGGCGTTTCGCTCTTGTTACCCAGGCTGGAGTGCAATGGTGTGATCTTGCCTCACTCCAACTTTTGCCTTCCTGGTTCAAGCAATTCTTCTGCCTCAGCCTCCCAAGTAGCTGAGAATACAGATGCGCGCCACCACATCCAGCTAATTTCTCTACTTGTAATACAGAAGGGGTTTCACCATGTTGGCCAGGCAGGTCTTGAGCTCCTGACCTTAGGTGATTCTCCTGCGTTGGCCTCCCAAAGCGCTAGGATTACAGGCGTGAGCCACTGTGCCAAGCCAAAGAAAGCAATTTTGAATAGGATGATTAGGGAAGGTATCACTGAGAAAGTTACACTGGAAAGAAGGTTGAAGGGGTAAAGAAATGAATCTGGTAGGTATATGGGAGTAGAGTGCTCCAGGCACATAGCAAGCAAGTTTACAAGCCCTGGAGCGGAAGGAGCCAGTGGGGAGCACGGTGTATTTAAAGACCAGCAAGAAGTCTGTGTGTCTAGGGCAGTGGAAGTGATGGGGAGAGTAACAGGGAATGAGCTTCAAGAGATTTAAGAGGGGAAGCAGAGAGCTGGACCTTTTAGGGGCTTAGAAACTATTATAAGGACATTGGCATTTGTTTCCTGAGTGAAATGGGAAGCTCTTGGAGAGTTTTGAGCAGAGGAGCGGAAAGATCTGGGCCCCGGTTTTAAAAGACCTCACTGTGTTGAGAATAGACTGCAGGAGGGACGTGATGGAAGCATGCAGAACTGCTAAGAGACTATTGAAATGGTCCATGCAAGAAATTACAGTGCTTGAACTCGGTAGGTAGCCATGGATAAGGTGAGAGGTGGCAAATCTGAGGTATATTTAAAGAGAGTGCCACCAGGATTTGTTAACAGGCTGCATGTTGGCTGTGAGGGAAAGATGAGTCAAGAATAACTTCAAAGCTTTTGACCTGAGTGATTGGAAGGATGGATTTGTCATTAACTGAGATGAGGAAACCTGAGGGAGGAACAAGTTTGTTGAGAAAAACGCTGTTTGGTTTTTGATATCTCAATTTTGAGGTGCCCAGTAAACATGTAAGAGGAGATACTAATTAGGCCATTGGTACCACCTTGTTGAAGAGAGGGCTAGACTGTAGATTTAAATCTGCCTGTAAAGGTTTCTTAAAGCTATGAGAGATGAGATTGCTCAGAGAAGAGCAGTCATATAAGGACTAAGGCCTCAGGTGCTCAATGTTAAGAGGTGGGTAATAAAAATAGCTGCCGCGTATGCAGTGCTTACCAGGTACCAGGCTCTGTTTTAAGTGCTTCCATATATTAATTCATTTACTAGCTTCACGGCAGCCCATAGGGCAAGAACTATTTATTCTTCTTATTTGATCGATAAGACAACTAGGAGAAAGAGATTAAATAACTTTCCTAAGATCAGACACCTACTGACTTGTGCAGCCAGGACTTCAAGCGAGCCTTTCTGCCTTTAGAGTCTGGGCTTTTGACTGCTTTCTGACACTCTTCTGTAACTAGAAGAGAGATGCTACCAACAGACGAGACTGAGAAAGGACAGCCGGTGAGAGAGAAGGAAAAACAGCAATGTCGGGTCCTGAGAGCCAACTGAAGAAAGCTTTTCAAGGAGGAGAGGAGGGATCACCTGTGTCAAACTATGCTGGTAGGTCAAAAAAGATGAGGATTGACAACAGAATTTTGGAGGTCTTCCATGACTCACAAAGGCAGTTCGCTTGATGGGTGGCAGTAAAAGCCAGATTAGAGTAAGCTCAAGAGAGAAAGGGAATTTAGACAATGACCTTGACTGTTCTTGAGAGAATTTTTGAAATATAGGGGAATATCTAAATGGGCAGAAGCTGGAGGTGACATGGAATCAGCTGAAGTTTTTGTTTTAGTAGAGAAGAAAAAATAGCATAAAGCTGTGGAAAATGATCCAGTAGAGAAGGAAATACTGATTGGGAAGTAAAGATGTAAGAATATTGCTGCAGTGATGTCCTTGAGTAGCCAGGAGGTGGCCTTACATGAAGGAAAGCAACAGTTCATCGACAGTCAGTGGAGGAGGCAGAGTCTGCAAGCACAGATGCTGGTAATTGTGCAGGTGTACTTATGGAACTTAGTGACCTTTCTCTTCTAATTGCTTCAGTTCCTATGCCTCAATTTCCTCATCCATAAAAAGGGAATTACAATCTCTCTCTCCCATGGTGGTTGTGAGCATTGAATAAGACAACATATGCAAAATGCTGGTGTGATGCCTGGTACAACTTTTGAGCTCAAATTATAAAAATTCTTTCATCTTCCTTATTGGTTATTATTAACTACCAGCATTTATTGAGCACTTACAATGTAGCAGACACTGGTCCAAGTACTTGATATACATTCCTCACAAAATGGCATTTCCATGTTTATGGGCTCTGATTAAGGCTCTCTAAGCTCTTAGAAACAACCAGTTTGTAATTTGGTTGACTGATTACCTCTTCAGTATTCCCTTTGTATTTTAAATACATTTACAAATTCATTTTTAAAGCCATAAGTGATGATATATCCCTTCATGTCATCCCATGAGAGGAGACTTATCCAGCAACTTATCTGGCTGAGGTTTCTAACATTTGTTCATTCACCTTGATTCATTGAGAGAGTAGTGTCTGGGACACAAAAGCATACTTTCCATCTAACGTGCTTTGTGGGATTAGATATGGCATGGTAGACTGGGCTAAGCTATTTGCCAACACTGGGTCTACTTTATGTTGGCTCCACTGGTAGAAAGCCCTCGAAATAGGGCAATAGGCATTTTTCGAAGGGCTGGGCCACAGGACAAGCAGTCTTCTGCTGCTTTTGGGATAGTGGGAGGCAGGAGAGAAGCCAGTAAACACCAGACCCTGAACATCAATGTTCTCAATTGGGAAAAGAGAAGTTAGAATGAGAATACCCTAGAGATCTACTCAAGCATTAACACTCTGGATTTTTTTCCATCACTTGAACACACTCTCTTTTAAGTTTCAAAGTGAATACAGATTTCTCTACTGAGGTTCCCCTTATCAAAACCAATCGGTCATGAGAAACCCCCAACCTTTCTAAACAAAGAGCTTCCATGAAAGTAGATTTCTATTCTGTATTCATAAGTCTGTTTCTAAGGGAAAGCAGCAGAAGTCAGTGTCTTCTTCACACCAAACAATCGTGAACAATCTGTGGTTATGTGTCCCATAACTGAGCATTAGACATCACAGAATTCTTACATGCTTGAGATCTGGAATTTAGGGCTGCCCCAAATTTGTATAATTGTCATCATCCGTTTCCTCTGAGGAAGCAGTTAAGGTTCAAATGGACCATTGGAATGATCCTGGTATTTTATGATATAACTACAAGGTCTTTTATTAAAAGATGAAGAGTCCCCAAAGTGAACTGCTGCAGAGTGGTGGATCTTTATATTTCATATGGGGCGCTCACTATGTGATATGCATTGAATGCAATTATATATACCATTTCACTTACTCCTTGCAACCCTCCTATGGGGTAAGTATTATTATCGCTAATGTGCAGATGAAGAAAGAGATTCAGAAAGTACAAGGACTTTGCCCAAATCACACAGCTAAGAAGTGATAGAATTCACATTTAAACCTAAGGCTACTTAAATTTCTGTAAGCCTTGGTCTATTTGAAAACCTTTAACTTTAACCAAATATTACCTCCTTATTGATTTCCGCAATGTTGAATGTGTCTGAAGGTTGCAGAATCCTTCTATGACACTATGTCTATATGGCTTTACCTGGAGCCATTCTGGATGCTATAAGTTCATAAATAATGTCTCTTCAACTTGGTTAGGCTCACAATGCCAATGGTAGACAGATGATCTACGGCTTTGTATGGTATCATTGTTAGCTAATGTGTTACTTCATAGTCTTGGGTTGCCATCCCCTGGAGTGTTTTGATGCGATCAGTTGTCAGTTTCAGGTCTGTTGTTTCTCTCACCAGAAGCCCAGCCGGTGGAAGCTAACAGCCCCAAAGCCCTGCCTGTGTTAGGGGAGCTATCAAACCCGGATAATGACATAAACGAGTCGGTGTTCATCTGGGGAATCTCAGACAAAGCAGCCCAGAGGAAAACCATCTCTGTCGATGAAGGTTTGTTTCATTTGCAAAAGGAAAAGCAGCAGCCACAGCAGCAGCAGCAGCAGCGACTGGAGCCCGTGCACAGGCTGGGAAGAGGTAAAGGGAGGCTGAGGCTGCCGCATGTGAGTAGCATTTTATGATTTCTTTGCAGCTGGGAAAGGAATGCTGAGGAGGGGGCTCAGCTGTGAGGTGGGCATACGTGTGTGGGGCTGGGAGCAATTAACAAGTGTATTTACAATCTGTCCTCCTCTTCCAAAGGAGGCACAGGAGTGTGCCCACACGCACTTGCATTTTCTCTGCAGATCATAAAAAATATAATCAGCAGGTGGGAAATATTTTCTTTCTCTTTTTTTTCCCCCTCTTCTTCTTCAGTCTTTAAAGTGGGCTGCATGGCAGAAAGACAGCACTGCCCAAAGAGCTTTCCCAGGCGAAAGAACTCCCTAGAGGGTGTCTTTTCTAAGTTTCTTTTGAAGCTGTGTGGATCTCTATTTCTTTGCCACCAAGCTCCTTAATCTGGAGGGGCATTTACATCCCTCTAGCTGCAAAAAGATAAGGGTGACTTTTGTATCTGTGGTTTTCAGCTAGAGTTGCCTGTAGTAAACAGCACCAAATCCAACATGATTTAACCTCTCAATTGTCAATGTTAAATGTGTTCAAAGAACGCAGACTGGGCATGGAGAAGCATGGATTGCATTTTACCCATCCTCTCAGGCTGGGGAAAATAACGAGGTCTTTCAGCATTGACACCTGTTTTGAACTGTGGGAAAGTTTTTTTGTTTCCATTTTTTTAAATTAAGCCCTGAAATTTGCTATCTGTGAACATTGTATGGATTGAAGTTGAAAGGAGACAGGGAAGAATGATTTTACTGTAAAGCACTTTTGCGACCAGTAGCAAGTTGTCTTAGCATAAGAAAGTGCTGTATACCTTTGGGCAATTGTTGATACCGATGCTAAATTTTGTGCTGAGCAAAAGTGTATCTGGTCATAAAGTTGCCTGTATCCTGGTTATCTGAAGACACAGGACCCCCTCCCTGCCCTCCTTGTTTCTTTCTTCAGAGGCTTTGATGTTTCTCAGCATGTCACGCTGAATGTTTAGATATTTGGGAATCTGCAATAAATGCATACTGGTTCATCGCCAAGAGAAGGGGAAAGGGGAAAGAAGGTGGGAGCATGGGAGGGGCACTTTGCTTGTCCTTAGAGCTGGCTTTGAGCAGCTGTGCGTAATGAGGATTGGAGAATCTGAGGCACTCTGTGCTGAGACTTGGCCAGGAGTGGCATGGTTGGCCAGATGCTTGGATGCACGACTGAATGTCATTATGCAGGAGGGTCAGGGCTCCAGCTCCCAAGTTTCTATGGGACATACAGTGAAATATGAACCAGGGGATGGGAACTGGGGAAAGGAAGAAACCACCTGTCTTCTGCAAGGAATCCTTTCACTGAGACAGTTTTCTCCACACTTTCTTCTACCATGGCACACGATGGTAAACAGAAAGCTGTTCAAAGCAGGTGATGAGTAGCAAAAGGGCTCAAGTGACTGTCGAAGTGGACAGGGCTCAGTGCTTGGGGCCAACACGGTATCTAGACCCTTCCATGACACAGTGGTGTGTTTTGGCAGACAGGTTGAGAAGACCTAATTTAAGCAACCCAGAAAAGCCAACAAAATGGGGCAACATGAGTAATCTAATGCCTGTGATTTGTTACTCTTTATTTTTTTTTCTGTTACTATTAATGCATTGCAGAAGCATTACAGTGTTTTTTGAAGATCTTCTCCTAATTTCACCCCCGAGTGCCTCTGATTTTTCCCTGTGCTGTCTCCCAATCTCTGTCCATATATATACATTTTTGACACAGTTGTAACCATGGTTCAGATATAATTTTTATTTCCCAGTATTAGTCCATAATACGTTCCCTTATTCCAGGGAACTTTCATATAGGTTATCAATTTTGGTTGTATTGAATGAATTAATCCCTGATATGAACATGCTATAATCTGTTTAGCACTTGTTGGATATATTTAAATTGCTTATAGTTTGTTTCATAATTGTAATGCCACTTATAAATATTTCTGTGCCCAAAGCGCCTTCCTGGGAGTGATGAAGTCTCGACATTGATATTTCTGAGATAAGAAAATATGAATATTTCTGTGGTTTTTCATACATTTCTAATTTCCAAAATCATCAGTAATATGGTCCAGATAAGTACCAATTATCTAGAACCTGATGCACATTAGATTCTTTATTTTTTCTCTCCCTAAATTAGGAACTGTAAAATGATACTGGTCCTGTTTTTTGAAGCTTGCTTTGAGTCCTAGTGAGTGAAGCAGCCTTATGCTCCACAGGACAAGCCTGCAGCTTCCCAGGTGCCTTCACTGTGTCCATGACAGGCACGAGGAAATCAAGCTCAGCAGCCTCTCATTTCCATCCCTGTAAAGGATAAAGAAAGGAAAGGTAGAAAACCTCTATTCTGTACCAGGGCACCTGAAAATCGTGAGCCAGGGTTTGCAGGAGGGGAAGCCAGCCTAGAATATTTCCAAGCCCTAGAGCTCAATCCTGGCCGATGCCTTGGGCCCACGGTCTTCCTTCCCTTCCCTAACAAGACCAGCAGAGAGCTAAGCCCACTTCTTGGGCAGGATTTGAAGCTGATGTCTGGCAGAGTGGGTTTGGGGTTTTGGGGAAGGTGAACACTAGCAAAAGTAATCAGGGAAATAAAAAGGAACATGCTTTTTGGTTTCCACTGCCCTGTAATGATCTCCTAAGTGCATGCACTTTAGTGATAGAGGCTAGACAGGGCATAAGAGTTTCTAAATATCAACCTCTATCAAATCAGATTTGTAGAATACCTCTTTTTCAATTTCTACCTGCTGTGGGGACACTTTTTTCAAGTTTTCTTTTATTTTCTTCTCCTTTGTATCTTATCCATTTGGAGATTAATCTGTGCTTTCCTGACCTCCTAGGTAACTCACTTATAAATTGCTTCAGTGCTAATCTCTTTTATTCATTCAATAATGATTTGTCCAAAGGCCAAGAGTGCCCAGTGGCAACTGCACAGCAGCTCAGCATGCATTTGCCCACCCTGACCTCCACAAGTGGGAAATAACAGTGTCTTGGGAGCAAGATTTTCCTACCATATAGAAGTGGGTTTGATAAATGTGATTTAAGAAGCTTTACTGACTTTTTCAGTCTGCAAGGACTTATTAGAAGAAGCACTGCTTTACAAAACTGGGGAGTTGCTGGAAGCTGGGCTCTGATCTGAGTGTGATTTCAAGTGGAAGGGGTGGGGCAGTGGTTCAGGAAGGAAAGGATGCGTAGGATGGACAGACCATGAGAAATGGTGTGCCTGTGGCCTGCGGAAAAGAATAAAGCTTTTGTCCACTAAGGAGAGGGTAAGAGGCTTTTAAAGGGTAGCATTTAAGCAAGACATCAGGAGGACTTTCTAAATGATAACACTTCTCAATCTTTACTGTATTATTGGTTTAAGGTCTAGCTTTTCTGCAAAATTATCCTCCAAGAGGGCAAGTGTGGTTTCAGCTTTATTCACTGCATGCATTCCCACCTCTCATAATAATGACAGCTTCCACTTCCCTAGGGCTTGTTGTGTGTTGGCTGTGCTTTAAGTGTTCTATCTACATTGTTTCATTTCATCCTCACAGCAACCCTATGTGGTGTGCACTATTATGATATCCCTTTTACAGGTTTAAAACTTGAGAAACAAGGAAGTTATGCCAGAGAGTACATGGGATCTCATGTATGCCAGCCAGTGGGTAAGAAAGCATTGCAGAAAAGGGTCTCATGCCACTTGAAAGTTGTAGGACCACAATATGACCCTAAGCAGTCTAGCTCCAGAGTCTGCATTCTTAATCAGACTTAATCATGTATAATATGTATGAAATACACGTATATGTTTCACACACACACACACACACACACACACAAACACACGCCACATTTTCTTTATCTAGTCAGTCACTGATGGACACTTACTTAGGTTGGTTTCATGACTTTGAGGTTGTGAATAATGCTGCATTGAACATATGAGTACAGGTGTCTTTTCATATAATGATTTCTTTTTGGGTTGCTGCTCACTAGTGGGATTGCTGGGTCAAATGGTAGTTTTTTTTTTAGTTAAATAAGAAATATCCATACTGTTTTTCATAGAGGTTGAAATAATTTACATTCCCACCAACAATGTATAAGCATTCCTTTTCTCCATATCTATATCAACCTCTGTAGTTGTTTTACTTTTTAATAATAGCCATTCTGACTAGCATAAGATGATATCTCATTGTGGCTTTAATTTGTGTTTCTCTGACAATTACTGATGTTTAGCATTTGTTAATGGTTTTTGGCCGCTTATATTTCCTCTTTTGAGAAACACCCATTCATGTTCTTTGCCCAGTTATTAATGCTTTTCTTTTTACTTGTTGAGTTGTTTCAGTTCCTTGTAGATTCTGGATATTAGTCCTTTGTCAGAAGCATAATTTGAAAATATTTTCTTCCATTCTGTTGGTTGTCTGTTTACTCTGTTGATTTTTTTCTTTTGCTGTGCAGAATCTTTTTATTTTAATTAAGTCCCATACTGCTAAAAGCGATCTACAAATTAACACAATACTTATTAAATCACTAATGTCATTTTTTACAGAATAAGAAAAAACAATTTTAAAGTTCATATGGAACCAAAAAAGACCCTGAATAGCCAAAACAGTCCTAAGAAAAAAGAAAAAAGCCAAAGGGATCACATTGCCTGACTTCAAATTATATTACAAGGCTGCAGTAACTAAAACAGCATGGTTCTGATACAAAAATAGGAACATAGATCAGTGGAACAGGAGAACCCAAATATAAAGCCATGTACCTACAACCAACTGACATTTGACAAAGTTTACAGAAATAAGCAATGGAGATGGGGCAATCCATTCAAATGGTGCTGGGAAAACTGGATAGACATATGCAGAAGAATGAAACTGGACCCCTATCTCTCACCATATATAAAAAATTAACCCAAGTTAAATTAAAACTTAAATGTAAGACCTGAGACTATAAAAACCCTAGAAGAAACCCTAGGAAAAACTCTTCTGGACATTTGCCTAGGCAAAGAATTTATGATGAAGACTCCAAAAGCAAAT